CCTCACACTTAAAACTTCATCAAGAGAGTCTTGCGTTATCTGTCTTCACCGTGAACAACTGGTATAATAACAATCGTGCTTTCCATTAGAGAGCATACTTTTCAACTTCCACTTTAAAAATCACGTAGGATAACAACTCTAAGGTAATTAAGTCTGGTAGGTCATAACTGAAATGCTAGAAGACAAAATGTCACAGCTCCTCAAAACTCTCATTTCAGTCTATTTTAACGTAACAAAGATACTTGAGACATGAGCTATACTAGAAAGTTCAGTAGGTTACACTTTTAATTTTTTAAACCAATAAGCTCTATTGATAAGAATTTGAATGCAAATCCAGCTATAACCTGAACAAAGATGTTTTATGCTGAAGTCTTTAGATCCCTACCTATGGAAGTAGCTGTGGCAGCACAAACACTTCCATGCCAATATAAATGCGTACAGATTCCCCGCAGCGTGCTGCTTTAACTACACTCCAATTGAGTTAAGTGTTAAAATTTTCTAGGCTTAGCGACACTAATATTTTACTTCTGATCCATCATAGCTGTCCATGCGCATGCTCTTAGCCCGTGGCAAAGGCAGGATAATTTGAGTTGTTTTGCCTTGCTTCACTGAAAACTAAGATGACTCAAATTACTTTGAACTTGCTTCAGGCGAAGCTCATGGACATGGACAGCTATAATGGATCAACTGACGTGCAGCAAAAGATTGGTGGGGCTAAGCCCAGTGCTGAAATAGAGCACAAGTCCTTTTTTTTTTTTAATTTTTTTTTTTTCCCCCTGGCATTTAACACAACAAGGGCCAAACCTAACTTGAGCCTTTGAGAGCTACAACACGAGTGACCAGATGGGTGAAAAACAACAACTAAAAAGCACCTACATCTTGCTGTCTCTTCAAGAGCAATGTTAGCTATATAGTAGCTTGAATACAGAGGTGAAGATCTGGACAGAATTACGCAGTTACCTCTGCTCCTAACTACTCCAGGTTTGCCAGCTTTGCTTATTCTCCTCTTTTTCCTTCATCACCTTGTCCTTTCCTTACCTGTTCCTGCCCCAATCTGCTCCAGCTACAATTCCCTGCTTTAGCAGTCTCAGTGAGCCTTTTCAGAAATGATGTCTTCAAGGTATGTCCATCAATGGTGCCTGCAGCACCTGCATACTTTACGTTTATACACTGAATTACGGTGTTATTTATATTTTCCATCTGCATTAAGCAAAACTAGGGTTAATACCATCTCCCGTAGCAGCCAGGCACTGACACTAACCCTTTTGGTTACCCTCTCTCATTTTTCCATCAATTTATCTGAGAGTGCTCAAATTAAACCCAAATATTAATTTATTTTTCATGTAGATGTCGAGGCACTTTTAACCACTAAAATCCAAATATTACTGCAAGCCACCCAACACATGCGAATTGTCCATCATTAAAATAAATCTCTATTTCCAGTGAAGTCTTACTGCTTCATATCACAAGACTTTTACAAATGAAACTATTAAGAAAAAAATTAAAAGGATGCAACTAACTTCTAGTCATTATCTGGTCACCTGACACTACTGTGTATGTTCCTTGGTACCTACTCGAACAGTATGTATTCCATAGCACATGCTGAAGACAACTGCATCATAATCTGTATCACTTCCAATGCTATTCCTTATTAATTAAGAATAGGCGAGAATATAAATTGTACATATCTATTACCAGTACTGTAGAGAAGTCCTATCTTGTCAGACTACGCAGGAAACTGTCAATGCCATTAGAAATTCTCCTTGAAAACTGACACTGCAGAATGTGTCAGTAGTTTCTGATGATGTCAGATGAGAAACTGCAGCAACAGCTAAGAGCAGAGTAGTGCTCCCTCGAGACACCAACTTTGGCAAGTTGTACTGAAACGCTGCAAGAATGTTTCTGAAATTGCGATTACTGAAATGTAATACCTCTTTCTGAAAACTTTACTGCACACCATTTATCAAGCCAAAGCTACGGTTCCAGGAAGAAAGGACCATCTGTTTTTCTTTGCGCTTCTTTTTTTTTTTAAGGCTCACCTTTAATCAATTTAAAGTTTTTTCATACACTGGAATGCAAAGAATTAATAACTTAAGAACTAGATAAGTGACTCAATGCTTCTCCTTGAAATACTGACTCCTCTGATTTTAATTATAATTAACTAGAAAGTAACTGCCTACTTGTAATACACACTCATTAAATCTGATACCTTTACACTTTTAACCTACAAAGGGGGCGACAAGGACTCTGGATCTATTTGCATTCCAAGCGTTGCCCTTCACCTACCATATATATCACTTGGATCAGTATAATCTCTCATAGACCTATTTTTACACCCCAACTGGGATAGTACTTACAACAACAAAGGTGCAATGCTTAATACTCGCAAGGTTTTCAGCAACATGGAAATTAAAGGGCTGCATTATAAACCTTATCTTACATATAATTTTAAATGAAATGCTTCTAAAAAAAATCCTTTGAAAGATCAGAAAAGGTTGCACTGAAAGCAATACAGTATATTCATTCAAATATTTCTCAAACTCAAAGCAAAATGACCATTAGGTAAAGATTTATTAGAAGTTACATTTAGCCAATATATCAATACGTCCATAATCCTGTACTTTTGACTATGTACAACTAATTCATATAAATATATGAAAAGATGAAACTGAAAGACATTATGAAAGTAGCTGTTTTAATTTCCACAAATATTATACCTTAAATGATCAACATCTAACTTATCGACTATAGCTGCAGTGCACTGAAACTGTCCATTTGATTTCCAAGTTATCTTCTTGCCTTTACAAGCTCATAAAATAAACAAAACTTTTATGTGAAAGCATCAGACACAATTTAACAAACACAAAACCAAAATCTGACAAACACCTATTAAGTCTATCACATAACACAGCAGGGCCACTAGAGATAAGTAGGAGAAAATCTACTCTTACTGATGAGATTCAGCGTTGTCCACTTTGGACACCGTTTTCTGCTATATCACCGCCCCACCAAACTTCATACAGATTCATGATGAAATCATCTTCTGTCAATCTTAATTTCACCCAAGCGTCTCACTTTCCAACTGTCCCCTCATTACGTGGCTATACAGAATACTTTATTTTTGCAAGAATCTGCCACCCGAAACACAGGCTGACTGAACATGGAGACATGTATTTCTAAGGGCTCTTTTTAGATACACTATGGTAGAATAGAAGCTGAACATTTATGATTTTAGACTATCAAATTATGGCTTGACTGAAGGACGTAGTTTAGCTGGATTCCTCTCCTGTGACTAATAACACATTAACAGTCTACTAAAAAAATAAGCTAAAATTCACAGCATTGCAACCAAAGTACTCAAAGCCCATATATTGTGGAGGGTTGCTTAAGGTTGTGGCATATAAATAGTGGTTTATAACACTACAGATCCAGGCACCCAATCTACTGCCAGAAATGGTCATCCTGTAACACAAACAACAGGAGTAAATGTCTGCCTGTGCCACCTCTACCATCACAGCCCACGAAGTGGAGTATGAGCCCAGAATTTCATTAGTGGCTTAAGCTACTATGTCAGACTATGAACAAAGACGGCATCGTGGTCTGCTAACATTGACCTGCCACAGCTCCATCTGCCTGAGCCTACTCATCAAATCTAGTAGATGTGCTCTGTTTATGCACAGAACTGAGAACTGAAAATAAATAAATAAATAAACAAACAAACAAACCTCTAAACAACTCCTGACACCCTTTCAGGAACGAGATTTTGCCAAGCATAACATAGCATCCAAGCTCCTGGAGCTGACCTTCCAATTTTACTACGGGCACTAACAAGCATGCATACAAATGTTTTGTTACCAAAAAAAATATATGCTGCTTTTGAAGAGATAAACCTATGAAACTTCGATCATTGCTTTAAAAAATCGCATTTGCAGCTGATTCCAAGACTTCAAAACATTTCTGCTGTATCATGAAGATAAAACATTTATGTAAATATGTATTTTCTCATTTCCTGTAACGTTAAGAGAGATGTCTTTTGTCAAGTAAAATTGACCTTAATGTTCGACTGTTAGGGAAAAAAGTACGTTACCTAGTTGCAGCTCGCTTTTAAGAGTACTAAAGGCCCAGCAAGTGAATGCAATAACAGTGCAACAGTATGAGAGATCCTCCATATGGAATCCTGCCAAAATTATCTGTTCAGATAAATGGCCTGACAAAGGGGAACCATAAATAAGGTTACTCTTTCGACATCATAAAGTTGACGCATATCCTGCCCAAGTTGGTTTTGTATAAAACAGCAAATAAATCTAAGAGATAAATAAAATGCAGAGATGCTTTTATTTCAGATAAGTCTGCCTATTTATTCAGAAACCATTTGTGCAACAATTTTTGGCCCATCTGAAACGATTTCTCTGAGTATGTGCAACTCAGATCCGTTTCCAGCCTACCTCACTATAAATACTGATTTATTTCATATCCTGTACAGCATATTTTGCGTAACCGAGTTCAATTTAAAACTACAGTTATTAAAATGAACCATCAACTTTGCAATTGCCTACAGGGCTTTTTCTTTCTTTCTTTCTTTTTCTTTTTTAATCTTCTCAATAGTATAAATTGGATAATGAAGAAAGAAGCCTGATGAGAGCATTTGCAATGTGGGGGTGAAATAGCACCAAAAACAAAGTGTTGAAAGAGACTTTGCAAAGACTTAAAATCTTTTTTCATAATTTTGAAAAATTATTTCAGTACGTAAAGCAGAAATATTTTTACCTATAAGCAACAGCAGCACATGTAGTATCTTTAAAAAGAAATGCTTAAGCATGTAGTCCAGGCGTCCTCTGGGAGATTTATGGCTTAATCACTCAATATGCCACATATTTTACATAAGTTTTTTTAAAAATACTGAAATAGAATTTAAACGTAGGTCATTTAACAGGATATGTACAGTGCTGCGCAAAATTTAAACACATTTTCCTTTAAAATTAAAGGGTTTAGTGACCTACCAAATCCTGGAATGCTTTTGAGACTGGATTTGAGACAGATTTTTTCAAGTCTGAGGTAGCTGTATCGCAGCAGGCAGTTCCACAGGAACATCCAGTCCATTCGTGTGCGATGGTTCATGATAATGACACTCCTTTCTCCAGGAACAAATCCGTCACCAGTGACAACCACCTTGGCACCAAACACCATCTCCAGCAAGGCCTAGAAAGAATATCTCAATATTATGGCTTTACTTCCAGAAGAAAATCATCAGCCCATTACCAATGAAAATTAATTTGAATTATATAATTTCACTTATTCACCCACATTATCACTGGTAAACAAACTTCTGACTGTCTTCTAATAAAGCAGCCAGCTTTTCCACAGTAACAGTCAGCTGTTTAATGGAAGAGGAAACAACAGTTAAATAGCACTTTTTAAAAAGCACTCTTTTACAATCAATGTCCAACGTTAAACTCGGTTTTTCCTGTTCTTCCCAGAATACTATTATGTAGGAATAGAAGCAAGGGAATCAGTATGGATTATAACTTGGTAAGTAAAATCTAAGGAGAGATCGGCTGCACGAAGAATCTATTGCTCAGTATTGTCAGGGCTGGGAAGGCCTCAGAAGCTGCCTTGCTTTCTGCTTGGGCCCAAACGGTCAACATGTTTGTGCTTGACTTCTGCCTGCAAAAATGGCTAGAACCTAATGGCAGAAAGAGCAGCTGAGAGAGAGGAATCCCAAACAAGCTTGAACATAGTACAGTGATGTAGACCTAGGTCTGTACAGCTCTACGGTGCTACCTTGAAGCCTGGGCCTCCACCCACAATTTGCAAAAAGCATCAACCACCAAACGCTGGTACACAGTCACCTACAAAGTGCCGTCCCAAAGCACCGAATAAGCCTCAGACTTGGAAGGACACAAACAAGAGGCCGGGCAAAGAGCTTTCTCCATTTTGCCTAAACAGCCAGTGATGCTAGAAGTTCACATATAAAACACGTTTCTTGCTTTACCCGCTGTGTGGCTCTGAAGGGTCAAGTTATAAACCATAGGTTGGTGGTTTATCAAAAGAAAAAAAGCAGGCAAGAGCTACACAGTAAGTTTAAGAGGGCCTGGTTTCATAACCTCGACAGTTGGACCATAAACATATAACGACTAGTTGTACATAACATCAGAGCCCAACAGCATGCTCTGGCCATGTTCACACCACTAAAGTCTCTCAACCTCTGAAACAAGGTGGCCACATACAAATTGCCTATTGAAAATGGTTTCTGACCCATGACCATTCCCAAATCATGCAAGAAAGTGTAAGGAGGAGTGCTGGTTGGTTACAGCAAAAGACCAGGACGAGGCAAATAATTCAAAAATACGGATGACTGAATGCTAGTACCTTGCAACCTTTTACTACCTAGTGGAAACACCGTGGAAAGGTACAAAATCCCGAGAAACAGAGGCAGACAACAGATATTACCTAGAGGTATGACTTAAGGCCCTGAGGTTAGGGCCACTGGCAGGACACTGCGCAACCCAGTTAGCACAGAAAAAGAAACCACAAAACACGACTGGACATCTAGAGGAATAAACTTAACAATTGGCCTTAACACAAAAAAATGGAAGCACTTCAAATTACCTCCTTGCCTTCTCTTCCCCATTCTTCCTCCAGAAAAATATAGAAAAAGAGCAAAGTCTGGGGATTCAAACAGAGCTCTAGGAAGTAAAACAACTTTCTGTTCCGTTCATATTTCTGCCACCTCTGTGCCACAGAACCTCAAAGAACACAAATTTCTCAGTTTAAGTCATCTGTAAAACTGGAATGACATTCTCATAATCTCAAATGGCTTGAGATCTCAGAATAAAAAGCATTATATGTGCCAAATATTAATACTATTAATAGCTCACTATAACTCTGGCAAAGGTGTTTGCTATCAAGAGTAACTATGGACCACTGCAAAAGCAGAACAGGTCATATAGCTCAAAATGGTAAACAGTTATTTTTTCAGAAAAGAGAGAAGCAGCCTTTTTTTGATAGTTTAATATGAATCTTATTACATATTTAACATCTAGTTAAACATAATAATAAACAGATGTCCTGTTCTACATACCCTAATGCTAGTATAAGCCAGCTAAACTGAAACAGTTAAGACCCACTCACTGTCCCATCCTGCTGACTCTGCTAGAAAGGAAATAATACGTGGCAGAGGAGTGAGGAAGGTGGAAGTTTCTTCTATCTACAGAGGTCAGGGTCAGAGCTTCCCTGTCGGAGTCCAACTGGTCCAACATTAGTTTATTGTTTAGAGACACAAACCCAAGTGCCTGCTTCTCCTGACCAAGAATGGAGTAGTGTCAGGACAGAAAATTAACACAGACAAGGTCTGAGCCTCAAAAAGGTTGGGTGCAAAATCTTTTTCAGAACCCTTTCCTGAATCTAAATCCCCAAGATTCTTACAAGACAGAATCCTTTTCATAAAAATATTCAAATTATTTTGGTTTAGGTTCAGTGTGGGCTGAAATCAAACTTCTAGACTGCAAAAGTTATCACAAACTAGTTGCAATAATCCAGAATTATAAAGCCCAGGCAGCTAATCAAATAGAAGACCAGTATTTAATTTTGGGGAGTTGGCAATTTTAGAAAAATTGGGAGGCAAGCAGGCAGAAAGGGTCAATTTTGTGATGCTATCAGTACTCAGATAAATTTCATCATGGCAAGAAATAACAATCTCTCTATTCCCTTTACTGGCAATTATTTCTTCCCTCCTAATTTCATTGCATTTAGTAATGATGAAAAGGACAAAAGTTTTAGAACATGAAACAGCTCACACCCCTTTAAAACACACAAGAATGAAACAGAGAAAGCAGATATACATACATGATATGTAATAAAGATAAATCTTCCTTTATGCCACAAGATACGTATTTCTGCACACCCATATAGCATTTTACTTCAGAAAAAGTTAAACAAATCGTTAAAGGCCTAGAGGAACAAAGTCCCTTGGTTTTTAGAGAACAGATGAAGACACAGATCCCATTCATACCGCCTTTCCTCAGGAACAATTCAGGGAAGAGCTTTTTTATTATTTTCCAGACTCCTATAGCTATAAAGTTGATGCAGTGTAAGGGAAGTTGTTCTTCTTCACCTGAAATCATTTGTCTCTAATTCAGCTACAAGGACTAAATTCTAGGAGGATTAAGAGAACAGTGAAGGTGAGCAACAATGTACCAGACAGTGAATAATTTTCCTAATTAGATAGTTGGAGCACAGTAGAAAGGAAGAGTTTATAAGACGACTCATTTAGGAAGTTTGTAATTTAAAAAATTCTCCTGCTTACTAGTGCTTCACCTACTCTCCTCTGATCAGCATCTAACTGACACTGGATGGAGATGTCATGAAAAGGCCTTTTCAAGAGCACAATTAAGACATGGCATCAACTTACGTATAAACTGTGGAAGAAGAGGGGGACTGTTGACAGGGACACAATCTGCAACACTGAGCTAAAACCTAAGTCTCCACAGATAGTAAGTATGTTAAGGTGTGTTTTGACAAAAGCATAAAAAACTTAAAAAAATATAATTAAAAGTGTTAGTGAGCGAACTAAGTCGTGGGATTATGAACATTTGCCCAGAACTTGGCTCAAACTGCAACTTACCACTGGGAGCGTGAGCCAAGTGGCCACAACACAATCGGTGATCCAGCGATACCAGGCCGGCGAGATAAACATCAAAGGTAGAAAAGGACCAAGCATGAATATACTTCCAAAAAAACTTCCCAAGAATAGTGCAAGTACAAAGTATATCCCTTTCCATGACACCATGGCTCTGAAAGAGAAAGTTGGCATTATGTTAGAGAGAGAAACTGAAAGTAATTACATAACTCTTCAAGTCCATAGGTCCAGTTTGAACATTCCTCCTTTTTTCCATGGCTAACAACACATGATGGCAGTAAACGCAACCAAAACGTTCTACCTCACAAGCAGCAGTAAGAGAACGACTTTAGAAACACAGTGATTTGTAAGGCGCATTGGGATATTAAAGGGATCATAAAAGTCTCAGCTACATCATAATTTCCTCCACTTACTCCAACAGGTAGTTCCACTCTAAAATCTCCAGCAAGCTATTGTTATTATACAAAGGTACGAAGAGTTATAGAACAGAACACCTGTTGTATTAAACTTTTCAGCCATTATCTCTGTCATTGGCAAAGTACTAATGTTAGCATTTTCTGAAGATAGGGAACTTCGCTTTTCTATTTCTCCATTTTGTTTCTTCTTGCTAAACCCAGTGTTGCAAAAACTCATCTTGCCGGTCTACGTGCGACCTCCTTCAGAAACCACTCAAACCTTGCGAGACTGATCAGCTGTTTCAAACACCAGTTCCCCTTTCATCACCACAGGGCAGGCAAGCAGCGGCTGAAACCTCCCTACTCACCATCATTTAGAGAATTTATGACTTTTTGAAGTCTGCTGTACTTCAACTGTCCTTATCAGTTATTTTCCAACTTATTCCACCAAAAAGCCAATAGCCCTTGGTTTTTAAGACAGTAGTCTAGACTTGAAATATTTCAGTGTCTGTGCTATCAGCTAGACTCCCTTATTATAAATTGAAATGTACCGTGCACAGAACTTCTTAATGCATTACGGCAGAACACTCAGCAATCCTCCAAGCATTTGTAATAGCTACAAGCTTTCACAATTTAGCGACTACTACCAGCTATGACAAAGCAAATGTGGAAATATCAATTCTCTAAATTAGGGCCTAAAAATAGACTGTTTTCATCTATTTAGGACTCAGCCAATTGTTTATAAAATCAAAGGTTAAGTAGAAGTCACTTTTCAGTCACTTTACTGAATTTCTTTTTTGACAGGCTATTTTAGAAATTATAAGAGCTCAGATAGACAGGACTTCAGGACAAGAAAAACAGGAAGCTGGTGTTTTTAATTTTAAAATGAGCAATGGAAAAGTAATCCATTAAGCCTTGTATACTGTAACATACATGATTTATCTCAAGCATGTTTTGTGCAATGTCCATAGCAATAATGTTTGCACAGCAAAGTATTCAAAAGTCAAGAAATTGCAACGCTAGTGTTGCTAGCACATGAATTTGCTTCTGCTACTTCATGTTGACAAGTAACAAGAAAGTAGCTCTATTTTGGGATACTTTTAGGTTTAAACAATTTCCTAAACTGTACATGTTTGGAGGAAGGCCAAGAGAAGAGGCCATGCAAATTTGTTAATGTAAGAAGGATATAGGAAACCGTACTTAGCTTGACTTCTGCAGCATAGCAAAAAAAGTAACACTAAATACAAACATTTGTTGGTAGCTATATCAGAAATAATGATATAGCTGGTAGCTATATCATTAATACAATGAAATTTGAATTCAAAAAGCACGTTATTTACACCCTGGAGTACAGAGCCCACTCTTTCCTGCCAAGAGCGGGAACTAAATAACCATCTGACCACATACGCACACACTAGGTAGGATCAATTTTAACACATCAGGGCATCCATGAAGAGCACTGCACTGAAGAAACGCCTTCTTGTATTTGTTACTATAAACCAGTGTTGGGAAAGTCTGAAATAAAGGTAGCAGAGGACAAAAGATGAAACCGAGGCGGACAGAAACAACAGAAAGGGCAAAGAAAAGCATTAATTGCAGCAAGAGTAGAAGAAAAGGCCTTCTCCTGACATATCAAGATTTGAGACCTACTGCAAAAGGTAGTAGAGAGGATTAAAATTCAATGTGCTTGATCTAATCAAGCATTTTTTGAGGAACAAACACAGCAAAACAACTGGAAACATCTAGGGACAGCTTTCAGACACTTAAAACCCACTAGCAGACACAGAACACAAGTTTGTTTAGCTTCAGCCAGCTGCTCTGGTCCTCTCTGAGGCTGCTCAGAGCCACCGGGCATCAAGTCAGACACAAGGACGTCCACCAGACAGACACCCTGGCTCCACGCAGCTGCTGGACAACACAGAGGCGCGTGTTCCAGTTCCAAATACTCGACTTCTGCACACAGGTAACCACAGAGTTAATGAGAGAAGACATCGCTCTGTCATCCTCCTAGACTCTTAGGAAAGCAATGTAGGTCACTTATTTACAGGCTGAGCTTTTCACAGTTTACACTGGTCCTTCCCTCAAATTATAGCACAGACCCAAATATTTAAGAAAAAAATCTTTTCTGTATTTTATGTGAAAGACTGTCTTGTAAACATTTTTTTTTTTTTTAGATGAAGGTACCTGAGCTATGGAAAAGACCTGAGGAAGTTCTGAAGTTTCTCATCTTCAACCTGCACCCCAGCAGTACTTTCTTTAACATTACAGTATATACATACATAAATTATACTGCATTCCAGTGGGTTAAACACTGCGGTGTTTATTTCTAGACACAAGAGATACCATGTGTGTTTTTAATCAATGTCATTTATCTCTCTTGCAGCCACATTTTTAAAGTGTGATACATACGATATTTTGCTTATTGCTTATATATATCATATATATATCTCTCTCTCTTTACACACGTACACATGCATTTATCTAGAATAATGGATAGACTTTGTCTCTGAATTACCTCCACCACAATAAAGCACATACCACGCAAACAGGTACGAGAACAGAAAAACAACTCCCTCTTAATAAATTTGAGCAAAACTGCAAAACTGTGATAATGTGAAGAACTTAGAGCAGAGAGTAACCATCCAGCTGGCCTTCTGGAAACAGGGCTCAGCAAGTTCATTTTAGTAACAAGGTGAAATTGTTAACACACTCAACCCATTTGTTTTCATTTGTGGGTTCACGTGGTGGAGTTACAGCCTGGACAATAGGTTTAAATGATTTAAAATGCATCTGCCTACGCATGTCAGTTGAGAAACATTTACATATACCCTCGTTTTAGCCAACAGTCAAGGATGGGCATTCATCACACAAGCTGCTGGGCGTGCTGGCTGCCAACAGCACATGCCCTGGGCTAGTCAGCAAAAGCGTTGCTCTGTGTGTGTTTAGAGCAGGGAGGGCAGAGAGGAGGCTGAAGCCCCAGGCTGGATTTGACACACTCGCCAGACCAGGTGCACCGCTGAAGCGATGTGCCCTCTCTAACTCAAGCGGTGCCACAGGGAGCCAGCTCCAGCACCTCCTCGGCTAGGAGTACAGCGCACAGGTTTGTAAATTGTACAGAGCCAGCTCTGGTCAGACAAAATAATCAGTCACACCTCTGTGTCCTGCTAAAGCTTCAGTACCGTTTGGGAACTGCCCTGCCTCTGAAGCAGTACAGTCGTGTTCACACAGTGCTGCAACTTGCCTAACAAACCCTCCTTTGCCTGTCTTTGCTCAGCTCTGTATCCTCACCTTTTTCCCTTCCCAACAGCAACCCCTCTCCCAGCCCCGCATCCCACATCTCCCACCCCGACCCAGCAATACCCCTCCCATACACACCCCACGTCCCCCCCGCCCCTGCAATACCAGCGTGCTTGGGCAGGCGAAGGGCAGCACGCTCCAAGTGGCCACACACCCCGCTGAAAAGGAAAGCCGTAACGCTGAGGACCGCACGGTTGGCGTGCAGGCTCAGCTATTGAGTCCTGCCAGGCCAGGCCAGGCTCTGCACGCTGGTGTCAACTTGTGTTGGCACTACAAGGGCTGTTGTACCCAGTTCACCATTGCATCAGTCACCCGAGGAATTCCCAGACACCTACTACCAAAGACAACAGGGAACTGACTCTATTATCAGTCTTTTGCATCTCTCAGCCCCTTAAACACCTAGCTTAGAAACAAAGTATCTTTATAGATACATGTCAGCCATCCCAAATCTAACACGTGCATTCAACAAGAGAAGTAACAGCTACAAATCAATGCAAAATACACGCCTGCAACTTCAAAACATGATTAAAAAACAACAAATAATCTCAAAGGGAAAGGAGTACTTAATAAGGACTTGTAAAATGATCTAAAACAAATGTGAAAAATCTCAAAACAAAGAAAATCAGAGCTGATTCATGTCAGAGATGAGACACCCAAGAAATTAAAGGATTCGACAGGAAGTCTGAATTACAGAACTCAAGCATTTTCAAAGTACAGAAGCATTCCTTTACTGACAACTCTCTCTTCCTAATGCAGCAATCACTCTCAACACTGGATTTAGCACGTATTACGGCCTTTATGCATCTTAAAGTCACTTTCCATTTGCTGTGTGGGTCAGAGCTGTGGGGAGACAGTCAAAATTATTTTAAGATTCAGGCTGAAAGCTGCAAACAGTGAGAAAGACAGCACCCTCACACTGGGCTTGTAGTTCTTCATCTATTTTGTGGCAGAACTCCAAGTTATTGGGGTACTGTACTTTACATGTTCTCGTTGCCATAGCAGAAGAAAAACATGCTCTGTCTCCAGGTAACGGGAAACAGTAATTCTTAAAATACAATTTTTGATTTACATTTCAGTTAATTTTAAAAATTCTTGGCTACAATGGGACAAATTACTTTCCAAAACAGTTGTATTTTTGTAAACTTCATCTTTATTAGAATATTTTCTTGAAGTTATTTCAATATTCTATGCAAACAAGGTTTTTGCATAGTAACATAAAGCAGAGGCACCTTCCTGTGATTGGATTTTGGCTTGTTTTGCTTATCATCTACATGCTTTTATTCGAAGTACAGCTGGAATGACAGACAAACCACAGCTTGTTATGATGATGATGATTTCAAAAGGTTTTAAACAGCCTGTTCTCTACAACAACACTAGTTTTTCTTCACAACTGCTTCTATGGCTTGTAAGCGGGCAAAGGATGCAAAATAAGTTTACCTGGTAAGAAACAAAAAAGTTCTAA